AGTTGAGGTAACAAGTGGAAGAATACTGCAGGGAAGAAGTATGTGCTCTGTGTCTTTGACATAGTCAGGTGCTTGGGAGCAGCGAGTCATTTGAGGGCCCTACATTTGCACGCTGTAGACTCGCTATTTACTTGCCACTGCAGTGAGGGGTTCACCTGTGCACCCTGAGTGGGTACGAGCTGCGGAGGTGACAGGATCACATCCTCCACAAAGGAGAGTTCCAGGGCTTGTTCCGACTTGAAGAGAAGAAAAGCCGTGTGACAAATGTGTCCCTTCCAATAGGAGCATTCCAGAAGCTCTCTTGGAGCACTTGGGAACAGTTCCCTTCCTTCTGTGGCACTGACTGTTTAAAAACACCATGGGGAAGAAAAGAGAAGTGAGGTAGGAAATGGTTCATGGTCTTAAAGAATACAACTGTGGGAGTGAGGGAAGGAGAGAAGTGACAGTGGTACGCAGCTGATGTGAAGTGAAGCACAGTACTTCCCCCTCCTTCCCACCTCCCTAGTTCTGCAGCACTGGATGCACTGGGCAAAGCCATTTAGCAATATGTGTGAGTGTGGAGCATCATCTCTCTTTGGAGCCAGAGGATGATGAATGTCTTCCTGTAGGCCAGACACAGGCTGCTTGCAATAGCCTGGGTGGGAAACACACCCTTGAGTTTCACTTTCTTCTATTTTAAGATCATGTACAAATAAAATGGTTCCTTCTGTCTAGGGCCAGACCCAAAAGCAGTCTGGTATCATATCAGAAGCATCGGGAGGTAAGATCTGATACCAGTGAGATACCATCCTTGACAGCGTATGCCCTGTTTCCTGATCCACAGGCATGCTTGTGCTCCCACTCACAGCAAATACACTTCTGAGCAATTTGTGCATCGCTTGCGCTTCAGCTAACTAGAATTGATTCAAACTCTGCATCTTTAATAGCATAAGATGCAATTAGTACTGCATATGCAAAATATGTCAAAGGTGGGGTTTTTGTGCCTGCAGATTAAATTCAGGCTTAGAGTACAGGCAAGTTCTTCCTCCTTTCCGTGTTAAAGCAGAGATCAGACTTTGGCTTCCTGTGAAACTTTTCCCTAAGGTTAAGAGCTGGAGAGTGGGGGGGAAAGATGGGTATAGCATGGCACAAAAAGTAAATGGCTTGTAACTTCGTTTTAGAAGAGCTGAGCATGATTGTACGTGTAACCTGCCCATACACACACTTCTTCCTCTCTGTGTGAAAGCACTTGGATGCTTTTGCACCGTAAGATCTGCAGGGGTAATGGCTTGTGATGGGGGTGGAAAAAACTGATCTGTGACTTTTCTGAAGCCTCTTGGGAGGCTTGGATTTGGAGGAAGGAGGATAAAGATAGAATGAATTATATATATATATATATGTGTGTGTCTGTGTGTGTGTGAGAGAGAGAAAACACCTCTTAAACACTCTTCAGCTTTTTGATGTCTGTAAGAGTAGATTCCTAGTTTGTCTTGGTTTTATTCCTTACAAAGCCTTCTAGTTTGACAAGCTTTATTTTAAGGCAAGATCGAGTAATTAATATCTTAGTATCAGTATAATCAGTCTGTTGGCAATTTAAAATCTCAAGGCAAAAGCCTGTTGAGATGAAGTGGTCATACTGAAATACTGCCTTAACATGCTCTGCTTTTTAACGCAGCTGAGAGATAGGTGGGGACTCCCAACAGCATCTCAAGTGCGTTCATTCCACTCCTCCCACGTAAAAAGTAGGGAAGGAGATCTTATTTAAAACCCATTACAAGGATGTAACTATTGAACTCAAGTTGCAAGAAAGATGATTTAAGAAGGAAAACCGCTGTCTCTCGACAATAAGGTAATGTCATGGGGGATGGATGATTATCCATGAGATAATTTTATTCCCAAGTACTGTAAATCTCGGCTGCTTTCCCTTCCAAAGCCAGTGCCTTGGGGTATGAGAGCTTATTACAATGTAGTCTCTACTGTGCATTCAAGCCAGAACACTGCAGTACAAGCTATCACTTAAAAATGCATCTTGTTTGTTCATTTCTCAGTGCTGGGAGCTTGCAGCATTGCTAGTACCAAACAGAGAGCATCTTTAAAGGTACAGAGAAACAAATGACCAAAACACAGTGCACAGAATGAACCTGTAGCATTCAAGTCAGTCTTGGCTCCCCATGGGGATGGCAACTCCAGACACTGAAGCAGCCTTCTTGATGCTGCAATTCACTCCTGGCTCTCCTGACTTAAAACCTTACTTAACATTTGGCCAGGGACCGACCACTCCTTTTAAAGGGTAAGGGTGTTCTTGAATAAGCTTAGGTGTCTCTGTCACAAATGGTAACTCAAACCACTTAAACCCTCTTGAATCCTCACGCAAATCTGGCATCAGAAATGTTTTTAAGTAGATATTTGACAGAGCTGTTATTAACCAGGAAGAAAAGGATTTATAGCATCATCATTTCTTGATGATGATCTCAAATCTAGCTGTGTGAAAAGGCAACATTTTGCTGTCACAACCTGACCTTCTGGTTACAGCTTGCAAGATCTCCTGTTCTTCACAGTATGTTGCTGGAGGAATACAGAAATGCAGCCTCCTCTTTCTCTTGGGACTGGAGCCCTGCCCAATGGCTGCAGGCAAGCAATGGCTTTGCTCCAGCTAAAGCAGGGATGGGAATCATTGGACAAGCTGAAGCAGCACTCTCATCCTGCTTCCCCTGGTCAGCTTTTTGCAGAAGGGCAAAGTGAGAGCAGTTTTTCCAAATCCAAACACTGAAAAAATCACCAAAACCCCCAAAAAGATGATTCAGTGTCTGGTTATTTGCAAAACTCCTTCCTGTAGTACTTGTTTTCAGCTGCTGACACAGAGCTGGAAATAGCCTGACCCAGGGCAACAGGAAAACAATTCTGATATGAATAGCTCCAGCCGTGACCTCTATAGCAATACATGAACCCAATCTCCCAGCTGAGTTCCCTTTATGACAGCTGGACCTGAGTGATAAGTGCCAGGGGTTGCTCATTCCACAAGCACTTGGCAGAGTATTTCCACTGGTTAATGGGCTCTGGGATAACAGCAGAGTTGCTTTCTCCACACCTACCTTACCAACAAGCAGAGAGTTGTTATCCAATGTGTGAACTCTAAAAGCACTGGTGTTTCTAAACCTCACTGCAAATAGACATTTACTGAGCAAAGCTCACCCTGTGAAGTTTGTGCGTGAAGCATCCTTTACTACAACTCTTGTAGGCAGTGCTTAATAGATGACACACAAGGAAAGCAGACAGTAACCTCCATGGTGCTTGCCTCCTTTATTTTTCTTAATAGGACTAACCAGCCTACAGCACCAGGATCTTGGTGCCATGGGAGCACGGGTGACTGAGGGTCACAAATTTTATCACCAGAGGCAATGCAGTTGTCAGTCCTTGCTTCCTTATAAACTTCTTCTTCAGTGACTTTCTCTCTCCCATCCTGAAATCCCACCATTGACTGGAAGCTGACATCACAGTACAAGCATTCATTTTTGAATCACAGAATGCTTTGGGTTGAAAGGACCTTAAGATCATTCAAATTCAACCACCTGCCACATGCAGGGACCCCTTCCACTGGAGCAGCTTGCTCCAAGCCCCTGTGTCCAACCTGGCCTTGAGCACTGCCAGGGATGGGGCAGCCACAGCTTCCCTGGGCACCCTGTGCCAGCCCCCCAGCACCCTCACAGGGAAGAGCTTCTGCCTTAGATCTGACCTGAACTTGCCCTGTTTCAGTCTGATCCCACCACCCCTTGTCCTATGGCTGCAGCCCCTGATGAAGAGCCCCTCTCCAGCATCCTTGTAGCCCCCTTCAGACACTGGAAGCTGCTCTGAGGTCTCCATGCAGCTTCTCTTCTCCAGGTTGAACAGCCCCAGTGTTCTCAGCCTGTCTCCATACGGGAAGTGCTGCAGCCCCAGCCCTCCTTTTTTTTTTCCCTATGGAAATAACAGTAATAAGGTTTGATATAACTGGACTGGAAATAAAGTCAGAATGTTTTTAGTAAAAGATTGAAGGAAAAGAGAATTTCAGGTTCCTTTATTAATGGTTTTACTTATTTATATGGAAAGTGGTTTCTGCACAGTTCTGAAAGAGATGGGCCTTTACAGAGGCCAGTGAAACCATGCTTACCCATAGCCTGGGTGACCACGAGTGAATACTTGATGTCAGTAGTCAGAGGAGGATCTATCAAATTAGAGGATGTGGGGTTTTTTTAAGACTTGTGTGGAACTTGCTGTTCAAGGCTGTATTACAAAGGAAAGGGAATGAATAAAGAGGTTTACTGGCCTCTCTCTTCCACGCACACAGCAAAGGAAATGTGCTTGTATTTGTGTACATAAAGAGCTATGTGCACGCACTGAAAGTAATGGGCAGCTGAGTTATGACAGTGACCTGTAATCAAACATTACAGTTAAACACCCAGTGAGTTCTGAGGGAGGGTTTTAAGAGGATCACCATCTCAAAAAGCCTGCAGCAAGATAACCGAACCAGTTGTCTGGTTTGAGAGCTATGAGTTGAACTTAACCCAAAAGTGTACCGATACGTTTACTGCACTATCCAGCCAGCCAGCTGAAGTAGTCTGGAACTTTCCAAGAGCTGTCCGTTTTATTACTCCTGTTACCTTTATTGCACAGTAGGACAGTTTGACGAATGAAAGTCCAACACCTGGTATAACTGATGCTACAACACTGGTGCTCTCTGCTGCATACAGTGATGCTAACATGATTTATGATACGCCAGCATTTGGAGAAGTTCCACTGCCACCTGCTTACGTAAAATGAGCTGTGTATGACAGAAACAGGTTCCCAACATGTTGTTAATAATGACATGACTTGCTGTTATTCCTCCGAAAACCAGCAGCAGTCCCCCACTAAGGAATGTGGAGCACAGCCCACAAAGCATTTCTCCTGTCCTCCCTCTAATTGTTTAAGCTGGAAGGAAGAAAAAGCTTCACTTTCTCCAACTATCCACACGCTCCTGCAAGACAACAAGTACAAAGTTGAAACCATGTTAAAATACGTCTTTATGTTGGTTTACATTGAGTTTTAGAACGCATAAGGCAACCGATTTAATACCCTTTTCTCTGAGAAATGTGACCTGAATAACAAACCCTACATGATGACTGAATGAAAGCAAGTGCAGATTCATGCAGGAGGTCCTTCAGGGAAGTGGCACGAGTCCCATGAGATGTGGTTCATTTATTTGTGGTTTCTTGGTTGTGAGGCCATGTACAGTGCTACTAGACAGTAGATTGTCCCGCCTATTGTTAGAGCCATAGTGGTCCGATAAAGCAGCCTGTCCGGAACGCCTCGTTTCAGGTGTACTGGCAGCCCATCTGGTTTCTGTGGGGAGGAGTGAAACAGAACACAAAAAAGGAAGTGAACACCCACATCAAGACCATAAGGAACAAGTTAAATTCAGGTGAATTAAAAGAATTCCACATGGGGAACCTCCTGACAAATAGGCTATCTGCAGTCAAGTGTATTCCGTAGTTTTCATTTAGCAAGGCAAATGCAAAGGCAAGTTAATTTATTAGCCAAAGCTGTTAAGTGCAGGCAGAGAGAACATCTCTTGCAATATTTCTCAAGAGGATCTGGGTGGAAAAAGTGTCACTAGGAAATGAAAATGAAAAGATACATATAAAAAGTGATTCACCAAGTCAGCCCAACACATTCCAAATGCAAGCAGGGGGTAAGAGAGAAAAGGGAAGGTTATATAAAGCACATGCTTGAACTCTCTTAAGAATTAACTGATTTGTTCTATGAAAAGTCCTAGTACACTTAGAAACTGCGTAACTAACAAACTGGCTTTGAGAACTTCACTGTGCTTTTCTACTGCCTTATAAACAGCTTCAAAGTATACACACAACAGTAATGATCTGCTCTGCTCCTGCACATCTGCTTTGAGGCAGACACTTGGATTCCCAGGCAGAAAGCGTTTCCAACTATCAAATAATATAATATGAATCTTCTGAAGCCAGGGAAAAGGCAGACAATGCTAATGGGCTTTCCACTTTCTGTATTCATCTCCTCTGTAAGGCATATACTACCTTGCAGTACAGTACAAGTATAGAGGTTATACCATACTTGACACTTTCTTAACTAGACTTTACAAAATGCTGGTCTAGTACAATGACAGGGGTAGTTAGCTACATTAAAATAGGGAAAGATACGTCTCACTCTTGTTTTCTTTAAGTTACTCTAATTTTTTCATTACCTGAAAAAGTTTCTGTAGGTCTGGCACCTTGTTTTTACCCAAGAAAGAATCAGTTGCTGGTATATCTGAAGCAAGTTTAGATGTTGTCAGAGCTGGGGATTCAGTGGAAACTATTGGTTTGAGTCCCTGCATAAATAAAGATTAAAATATCAAGGAATATAACACTTGCAAATGCACCAATTGTCACATTAGGCAGGCACTGCCAGTCATTACAAGGATACATTAAAAAGAATATTTATCTGGTGTGAGGACCTGTGACAATGAGCTAAAGACGTGGTTGGCACACTGGTTTCTGAGCTATGTCTTTGGGTCAGGGCTTAGCAGGAACATGGAAGCATCCTTTCTCATTTCTTAATGTACTCCCCATGAGCTCAGTGCAAGAATTATTGCCTACGAGGGTGCTGAGGAGGGACTTTTCATTAGGGACTGCAGACATAGGGCAAGGGGTGATGGGTTCAGACTGAAACAGGGCAAGTTCAGGTTAGATCTAAGGCAGAAGCTCCTCCCTGTGAGGGTGCTGAGGCCCTGGCACAGGGTGCCCAAGAAAGTTGTGAACGCTCCATCCCTGACACTGTTTGCGGCCAGGCTGGATGGGTCTTAGGTGACATGGTTTAGTGTGAGGTGTCCCTGCCCATGGCAGGGGGGTTGGAACTGGATGCTCTTAAGGTCCTTTCCAACCATAACTGTTCTATGATTCTGTAATTTCAATGCAGATGATCTTTTAAGCACACCATTAAGACACCTTAAATGACCCTTAATTGTCACTGATATTTAACAGGACTAGAACTGCAGATGTCATTAACATCAGTCTCACTACACTGAAGATAGTACTGAGGAATGAATGCCTCTAAGCATCTGACCTATGCTTTATAAGAAAATGTTTCACACTGGTAATTTTTCTTCTGATACTAAGGTGTTAATCTTTTCTTTCTAATCATGTTACCAGGAAGCTGTGTGTGAATGCTCCATCCCTGGCAGTGTTCGAGGCCAGGCTGGATGGAGCCTTGGGTAGCATGGTTTAGTGTGAGGTGTCCCTGCCCATGGCAGGGGGCTGAAACTGGATGATCTTAAGCTCCTTTCCAGCCCAAACCATTCTATGATTCTATGAATTTATTCCAGTCCTTGGACAAAGTACAGCAGATGTGTGCTCGTGCAGAAGAGTCAACATCAGCTGATTTCATCAGCACTGCTGAAGGCCTCAGTGAAATCCAAAACAACAAACAGAATTACCTGCCTACCCCTCTGTAAAGAGTGTTTGCTTCTCTGTCAGAGGCCTGAAGGCTGGCAACATGCACAAAGTTAAAAGGAACTTGTTGCCTTGCTAGTGTGAATTCCCAAGTTGGATTTGCATTTCTGTGACAGCCCAAACCGGTTCAGGATTTGGAGCAGTTTCATGGCAGTACCACCACACTTAAGCTATTGAGTGTTAGGGGAATTGCTTAAACAGGTCAGAGAATGAGAAAGTAGAAAAAAACTGAGGTAAGGACCAAAATGGCAAAGGGAAACAGGTAAGAAAGTTAAGCTGAGAATTCTTATTTCAGAGCATGCACTGAAGTAGCTTTTATAGGCTTGCTGAACCCAGCCACATCTAAATAGTATGTCCTTCATAGCAGAACATACCTCACTGTAAGAGGTTAAATATATTTGTTGCCACTAACACAAGGAATTTTCTAGGCAGGATCACTTAAGGCTTTGCTTGTATTAGGATGACACAAGTAAGTAAAAGCGATTTTATGTACATTTTAAGTACCATCTGCAGCATAGGTTAATCATTATAATTTCTAAACTAACTCCAAGCAATTCATAACAGCTAAAGTCACCAGATCTGTGTTTTGTGGGGGTTTTTAAATAGGCACAAGCAGAAGTAGGTGCATCAAGTCAAGATATGGCAGTACGACTAAATTTCTCCTAGGATCATAGTCAGCCTTGAACTAGGGAGAAGCTCACATAGTCATCCTCACCTGACAGCATCTGAAACGGATCCCACTCTTTGTACTTTAAACACCAGCCAACTATTTGAAGTAATAGTTTTATTGAATTTGTAGCAGTGGTGGCAGTCATTATCCTCCTAAATGTGAGTAGTAGTTTTTAACCTCCTGTTTATTCAAACAGGTCATGTTGTTCATACTACTGTACCTAACTTTGCCAAAGGCAAAATTAAGTCTTCTAAGAATGCCAGCACTGAGATGGAAAGAACACCCCAGGTTTCAGACTAGGAGATACTTTCTTTTTGTTAGCATAAGCTGCTATGTTCCTGTCAGCAAAAGCATTTCTGAAATAGATTTTCACTGATACTTTGCAAGCCCCCACTAAGCTTAACCCTGCATTAGAACAATACTCCGTTGGGAAACATCGGAATGGAACAGCACAGAATTGAGTGAGCTGTTATACTGCGTGTTTGACCAAGCAGGATTTGAACAGCAGGATGTCTCCATCTTTGCAGAAACATCAAGACAAACAGAAGTATAAACAGCAAACTGTTTTACATGCTGAGCTATGGTTTTATTAAATTCAGCAATGAAATGGGTAGGAAAAAGAATTTACTTCATTTTGGACTCAGCATCTATTCACTCAAGTGACTTCTTTCCTATTTTAGTCTCTATTTATGAGTTTAATAAGAGCGATGCACCTGAATGTGCCACAAAAAGGCAAATTCTACCAAAAAGCTGGCTTCAGAACACTGTAAAAAGGGACTGAAGGCAACTTTTGAAAATGCACCTATTCTCTGTTCTATTGCATAGCTTGTTTGCTTGCTACAGTTGAGGATTAAGCTGTGTGAACGATAAGCCAGACACAAAAGACAGCGTTTCTTTCATCAGTCTGAAAACCCCACATCAATGAAGCGAGACTTGCATGAAATGCTCCTGCTTAGAGACAATCTCATCTTCTCTATTGTATTCTCTCAAAACCCAGGTTTTCACATTTCAGTGGTGGCACTGAAAGGAAATACAATGCTTGATGATGACCTATAAGGGAATCACAGTGTTCTGGGAGAGAAGTATTTCTGTGCCTTGGGCATTCTCCTTCCTGCTTGCAGAGCACAGTGAGATCTAGCTAGACTTTGTTTCTATCTGCAGTGATACTTATCTGTGAAGCTAGTTTTGCACGGACCTTTTACCAACCCAGTTGTGATATATGACACTACGGCATTTTCATCTAGAAGATGTCAAGAATTCATGATTTATCATGTCTTTCTGTATCTAGTGTAATGATATTCATAGCTAATATTCATTAATGGAATAGAATGTGGGATAACAGAGAATTCTCTATTCCCCCCTTATCTTGCTTCTGCCTTTTTAATACCCCCAAAACTAAAGATATACTTAAAAGGGGACAACTGTTATAATGGAATGGAGCCTGCTGAACAGGGAGTTAAGTACTGCTCCACAACCTGGGCTCCAGAAGCCAAATGTTTTAGGACAGCTTTACTCCAGGTGGTTTATCAGAGCTTTCTGTATTTTTATGTTGGGGTTTTTCTCTTAGGATCCTACAAGGGATGTATTATTTGCAGACAAACAGTCACGGTGACCTAAAGCCTATGTATAAACACTATGTTTTCCAGAAAGGAGGCACTTTATTGCTTGGGCTTGAAGCACTTTTGCCCACACGTGTGATGGTAACCCTAGCCTTTGCTTTCCTCTACACAAACGAAGCGTCAATGTTAATTCTTTGGCTATGACTTTGTGTAGAAGAGGTAATAATGCAACAGTGGCAAATGTTTTCTAGCACAGGAGCCTCTTGGACATACGCTTAATGAACAGATGTACTTTCAGACTAGAACGCTTTACCCTACTGTCTTCCCTGTGCCCTGCACCTCTGCTGCTAGTAGGAAGTCTTCCAAAGAGTGATGGGAAAAGAGTAAGATAAGAATTCTTCTTGGGAAAGAAACTGCCATATCAGAAAGTCACTGCTGCCCCACTCTTTACTTAAGATCTTGTGGTAATTCAGGGTAGAAGGGTCCTCTGGAGCTCATTAGTCCAAACTGAGGTGAGGGTGCTGAGGCATTGGCACAGGGTGCCTGGAGAAGCTGTGGCTGCCCCATCCCTGGCAGTGCTCAAGGCCAGGTTGGACACAGGGGCTTGCACCAAGCTGCTCTAGAGTGAGGTGGCTCCTCCCACAGCAGGGGGCTGGAAAGGGATGATCTTAAGGTCCTTTCCAACTGAAACCAGTCTGGGATTCTGTATGTCTGTTGTCTGGAGGCAGTTCTTTGGAACTGCCTGACTTTTTAAAAATCACCCTTCCACTCGTAAACCTCCAGGGTTTGTGTTGTTCTGTTTTGAGGAATTTGGGTTGTTTGGGGTTTTTTTTATTATTACTAAACTGTAAGAACTTAAGCTTTTCAAAGTTCAGTCAAAAACCTGAATGCTGCTTAGCAACCACGCTGCATTTGGCCCATGACATAATCGCATTACAGTCTTTCTAGGATTACTTAGGATTCACTGTTGATGCACGCATAAAGCAAACATGTTCTGTGGTTTCTTTTCACCAATAGGAAATGCTTTATGTATTTAATGCCTTAATGCTTGATGTAACCAAGGATCTACCCTCTCTTCCTTCAGCTCCCCTCACTCTTGCAGAATTAACCATGCACCTGAAGCATTTAAAGTCTAATCCTACATAACGCCACTTTTAACCTTTATACAAATTGTACGCAGGTCAGCGTCATAAGGAGGAAAGGCTGGGTTTCATTTTGCCTTAAACAAAGCTAGCTGCGTGTTCACTCTAATAGGGGCGTGAATGCTTTCAGGAGTTAGTTTTTGTGCATGCAGGGACAAGGGAGGGCCATTTGCCAGCCAGTTTAAAACGCCAGCAGCCACTGCTCTAGCCTGGGGGGCTCCTGCATGGCAGGAGCTTGCTGCAACACCCAACGCATCCCAAGAGGTGCCTCGCTTGCCCAAGGTCACCCGACCGGTGATGATGCACCGAGGGGCGATCCCTCCCCAGCCATACAAACGGCACCGGCTCCGCTGCGGAGGGGCCGCCCGCGCCCGCGCGCACCCGCCAGCCGCCACCGCTGCCCCTCCACCGGCCGGGCCTGCTCCTTGCAGCGGCGCCGTGCGCGGTAGGGGACGGGGAAGGTCACGGCGGCGCGGGTGGGCGGCGCGGCCCCGTTACCTGCGGGTTGTAGGCCTCGGCCGCCGCCGCCCCGACCAGCCGCTGCGTGAAGCCGTGGAACTTGTAGTACATAGCGGGCAGCACCGGCGAGCGGCCCCGGCGGCACACCGGCTGCGACGCCTCGCGAGGAAGGGCCCCCGGACGTGAAAGGCCCCGCCGGCTCGCGGCTCCTCGCCGCGAACGCCTGCGAGCGGTGAGCAGAGGAAGCCGCCAATGGAGCCGGGTAAAACGGGAATGCGGCGAAGCACATGAATCGCTCCTAAAGCAGCGGGAGCGCGTCTCTCTCCCCTGCTGCGTTCGAAGTGAGATTGGGCATTTTCCAGTCAGGCAGCAGCTAAGGCAGCTAACGCCCCGAGCTGTCGTGCGCTTGCGCACCACCGCTCCAGCCGAAGGGCAGCGGGACGCGAGGCGGCCGCAGGTGCCGTAGAGGGGCGGGGTTAGCGTCAGCCAATCAGCGCGGCGGGATGGGAGGCTCCGCCCATCGGGCGGGGCTCACTGTGGTCGGGGTGGTGTCTGTGGTGCCGTAGGAGCCGGAGGGGCACGGAGAGGGGCCGGTGCGCATGCGTTAAGCCCCCACCGGGTGTCCTGGGCTTCCCCACAGCTCCTGAGGGCCGGGGCTTCCTCAGCCACGGCCGCCTCCGTTGCGTCCTCCGGGGTGTTCACAGTAACGGAGGCAGCGCTGGCCGGTGTCTTGAGTGCGTCCCGATGAGGGGCAGCGGCGGGTTTGGTTTGTGGAGCGTGATCTCTGTGTCTTTATCACGGGGATCCCTTGTGCCCCGCTGTGATTTGGAAGCGTCTGAAACTGACCATTTGATTCATAAAATAAGACGTTTGTGATGTGGAACCAGCGTGGTGCACCAGGGGAATGCGGTGTGGTCCTGCTGCTGTTGTAAATTTCATCACAGAATCCCAGCCTGGTTTGGGTTGGAAAGGACCTTAAAGCTCCTCCAGCTTCAACCCCTGCCACATGGAGGGACCCCTTCCACTAGAGCAGGTTGCTCCAAGCCCCTGTGTCCAACCTGGCCTTGAACACTGCCAGGGATGGGGCAGCCACAGCTTCTCTGGGCACCCTGTGCCAGCGCCTCAGCACCCTCACAGGGAAGAGCTTCTGCCTTAGATCTAACCTGAACTTGCCCTGTTTCAGTCTGAACCCATCACCCCTTGTCCTATGGCTGCAGTCCCTGATGAAGAGCCCCTCTCCAGCATCCTTGTAGCCCCCTTCAGACACTGGAAGCTGCTCTGAGGTCTCGACACAGCTTCTCTTTTCCAGGCTGAACAGCCACAGTGTTCTCAGCCTGGCTCCATACAGGAGGTGCTGCAGCCCCTGAGCATCCTGGTGGCCTCCTCTGGACTTGCTCCATGTCTTTATGCTGGGGACACCAGAACTACATCTCCCGACGCAGACCAGCAGCCCCAGGGCTGACGTACCCCATGGCAGAGTTGTGCCATGCCCTCAGCTCGAGGGCCTGGGGGTGCTGAGTGGTGTTTGGACTCTGGTCATAGGCAGTTGCCAACTGAGATGTTGGTAGTTCAGAGCTTCCTGCTATTGCCAGTCTGGCAGTGCAAGTTCCTGGTTTGGGTTCACCCTATTGTTGGTTAAGATGAGCTGTACTGAGACCCGATGAAGAAAGGATCGTTTGTTGTTAATGTTTAATTGTTAGTGACCTGCACCCATTAGAGTGTTGCCTGTTGGGAGACCTACACTGAGTTCTGCAGATATGCTTGCTGTAAAAATATCTGTGGTCATGCACTGAGTGAAAACTATTAAAATACACTTTGCTTATAAACTGGGGGAAGAGCTATTCATAGGAGGTGGTTTAGAAAGTGAAATACCCATTTAAAAATATGTATGATATGGTTTCTTTACCCACCCGTGTAACGCCTTCTACTTATTAGAATTTGAGTTTGATGGCATCAAAATGGAGCCTTGAATCTCCTTGGATTCATCCCCTTCTGGACAGATGTGTCCTACATGAGGAAACCCCTGGGAGCTCTGCGCTCTCTTGTGAGAGCAGGGCTATGAACCAGAAGCGCAGGTCCTTGCTGCACCGGTTCCTACCCAAGCCTGTTGCTCTGGAGGCAGGCTTTGTTCTTGGTGGGACTCCAGTTGCACAAGCTGTCCCTGCTGTCCTCTGGTCGGGAGAGCCAGCTGGGTGATCTGTACGTGATACCCCGAGCTGATGTGCTGCCTCTGTAGGAGCATTCACTGGGGAGGATGTGTTATTTGCTCAGTAAGTAGGGAATTTATGGGAATATTTGGTAAATGTTACGGGGAGAATGGTGAAATCCCTTCAGCTTTCAAGATTAGGCAGCATTAATGAACTGGAACATGTGCTGCATAATTTATGGTAGAAAAAGCTTGCTGATCAGGATTCTATTTATTTCTGAGTAAACTAGAAGTTATGTTTGAGTACAAATATGCCTGTAATAGAGCCGAAGGCCTTGAAGATGGGGTATGCATATTCTCTTGGAGTGGGATGCTGTGAATCATGGCTAGGTTTGAATGGTAACAGTCCTGTCCTGTTGAAATCCATGGGGTCTGGTATGTATTATAACCACTTTGGAACGTTCCCTGAGTATATCTGTCTGTAGATGCACCACAGCTCCTCCTGCCCAGCTATTTCAGCATTTTCAGGAAGGAACAGGTATGCCTGGCAAGCTCACTTACAAACCAAGCTTAGTGTCTTGCTCTTCTACCTTTGTTTTCCAGCATTAGTACATGCTATAATCCCAGAGGAGGATAGCCTGTGGCAGGTCATGCACGGAGATAACACCGTTGTACAACTAGTTCTGGCTCTATTGATTCTCTTAAATCACATTCCTGAAAAGTCATTCAGTATTGACTGAATGGAAAGATTTGTGCCCTGGAGCTCCATGGCAGCTGTGAAAAACATGCACATTTATCCTCTTTTTCGGTTAATTTAAGTCAAGATGCTTTAAAGTAAGCTGTGAAACTTTGCTGCTGCAAGCTGTTGAAACAAAACCTAGGTGCAATCTCTCTCTCTCATTTTAGCTCACAAAATTGAAGATGGGGAATTGTTTACCTTGCAAGAGAGATGCATGGGAGGATGACATGAATCAAACTACAGTTACAAGTGAATCCTCTGCTGTTGTTCTTGTAACACAGGAGCATGGGGCCATTCCGTGAAGAGGAAAGTAAAATCAGAATAGCGTAAAGTCCTTCCTTTCCTTTAGAGGAAGAGACATGGTTTTGCCATAGGCTTTTGGCCCATCTTTTGCTTTAGTCTCTAGACTTTTGCTAAGACTGCTTTGTTTGTCCAGTTTTCTGACATCGTGGGTAATGAGGCTGTAAAACTTCCAGCCATAGGAAACAGCTGAGGCAAAAGGAGGCCACTCACCCCAGCAGGGTGGAAAGAAAGACTGGGTGTATTTGTGGGCCATAAAACTACATGAGCTTAATCCCAAAAGGAGAAGACTTCTTGCCTTGGACTTGAAGCTGAACTCTGGCTGTTCAGACACTGAGACATAGGGACTGGCGGTTGTGCATCTGGTCTGTTAGGGATCCCCTAGCTACATGAGCAGTGGGGTACTGGCAGCAGCCAAATGCTATCCTAACAGGCTACCCTGGAGTTGATTCCGTTCTGTCCAGATTTGTAAGGTAACTGATTTCATACATGCGAGTTTGTTTATCATGGCTTGTTCCTGGAATAGCACTGAGATTGTACTTCCAGATGAGTAGGTTTCTGGAAGTGAATGAAAGGAGCAGAGTACCTTGAGCTTACTCTGCTTTCTTTTTCTTTGCTGTCGTTGGCGATTTTGGGGTATTTATTTTCCTTCTGAGGACCAAACAAAAATACAAGACCTTATTCTGTTGCTTAATGAACAAACCCTTCATCTGCTGATCGTTATTTCAGCACAGATGCCTGTAACTCAAACTCTGTCAATCTGCCCATGCAGCTCTGTTCTTGAATTGCTCAGAACAACCGTGGGGGTGGATTTAAACCATGAAATTGCCGTGTGTGCTTGTGTTTTGTTTATGCAGTACTCGTTTTTTAAGAGTACGAGATTGGGTTTTGCTTAATATTTGCCCTGTGTGTCCCTCTCTGTGTGTATACATAATACATACAAGCCCCCAAACTAGAAGATGATCACCAAGCCTAAGCTCTGTTAATGCAAGAGACTGTGACATTGTAAACACGTTCCATTTGAAGCACGTTGTTGACTGAAAGGTAAGTCTGTGCACAGAGTAAGGTGGGAGTTACTTCTGAAACCTGTGCCTGAATTCACTGGTGCTTTATGACCCATATGTACTGGATACAACACGGATCACTCTCAGGCTGGTATTGTCAACTAAGAGATTTATTTCTCTTTGATAAACTTAATATTGAAGATTAATAAAAGTAATCTTTAATATTTAGGCTGTTTATACACTTAGAATAGTAAGAGAAATAGAACCAAAGTTTTCACTACCTATCTTTCTCATAACAAAATCCTTGCTTTTTTTTTTCTGAGATGGGATTAAAGAGGCAGCCATTGATATCTTCTCAATGGATTTAGAAAGGATTCCGTATTTCACTTCATTTCATGGACACTTCTTTGTCTTCACATAAGGCTTCTGTATGTGAAATACTTGATAACAATAGTTACTTAATAGTGATTTTGGCAATAAGGACACTGTATTGGACTATAGCATGATGCTCACAGTAGGCACAGCCTGGTAAATTGTGGAAGGTGAGATGTGAGGATGGACTTTCTAGATCCTGATGCCTGCCTAGAATCCCATTCACAGCTACTGCTTTACAGGCCTGTGATAAAGCCATCCAGAGTTGGTTGAACTATTACCATACTCCATGCAGCAGAAGGCCCAGCTTTACCCCCATTGTGGCCAGGCTGAAAGGCTCTACTCAAGGGCTTTTCTGTTTGACTGACTTGAAAAAAGCCAAAAAAATAAAGGCATAGTTAAATTTAGTGATACAAGTGTCAACTGCCTGGTTCCTAGCAAAATCTTCCTCGTAGAAAACACTCTTCCTTTATGAATCATTTAGCGCATCAGAGGTAACATAACCAAAATACATTGCTGCCACGAGAGCAGTGTCTCCTTGCATTGAAAATAATGCACAGTTTTGACTACGTTCATTTTTCAGGCTTATATTC